AACCTTTTCTCCTGGCCAATCTTTATTCTTTTGTGTCACATATTGATGCACAAAGACAGGCTCTACCAAGGACCCCACAGTCACCACACTTGCTGAGGATCCAGAGAGGGCAACAGGAACCAGACAACAGAATACCTACCCAACAAAACATGACCGAATATTTACATCAACAAACACTTCAACTATCATAACTCCAGATGCCTGAACATCGAAGACAATGTGCTTCCTCCAAAGCCAGCAACCTATTGCAGTATTCCCTGAGAAAAGCAGTTTAGATGAAGCACGGAACATGAACTTCAAAATAGCATTCAAGGACCTTAAAAAGCATATAAAAGTACTTTAATAAAAACTGTGAAAACAGAATCAGTTGAATGCCATAACAAAAACAATTCAAGACCTTAGACTTTGAAAAAGAAATAGAATCACTAAAGAAAATCCAAATTGAAATAAAATAGAAATGAAAAGATGCCAAACAAAAATCTTAGCGATAAGCTTCACCAACACCAACAGATTATAAGACATGAAAGAGAAAATTTCACATGTTGAAAACAAGGTAGAATAAATGAATAACTCAGCCAAAGAAAATGTTAACTCTTTAAATAAAATCCAGGCATAAAATATCCTGGAATTCTGGGAGACTATGAAAAGACCAAATCTATGAGTAATTGATATAGAGGAAGAAGATACCCAGGTCAGAGGCACAGAAAATATTTTTTTAAGAATCATAGAAGAAAATTCCCGCAATATAAAAAGAAGAAGGAGGAGGAGGAAGAAGAAATGCCTACCAAAGAAGCATATAGAACACCAGATAGACAGGATCAGAAGATAAATTCCCCATGACACATAATAATCAAAACATTAAATGTACAGAAAAGAACAATAACCCAAAAAGGATACTATAAGCTGCAAAGAAAAAAAAACAAATCGAGAAGTCACATATAAAGGCAGGCCCCTTAGAATAACACCCTTATGGTTTTCACAGTCTCCATTGAAAAGTCAGATGTTATTATAACAGATTGGCTTAGGAAACAGAATCCATCTTTCTGCTGAATCTGAAAAGTACACCTTACCTTGAAGAAATGACATCATCTCAGGGCAGAAAGATGGAAACAAATATTTCAAGCAAATAAACCAAAGAAGCAAGCAGATGGAGCTATTTTAATACCTGACAAAGTAGACACAAGACAAACTAACCAGAAGACATCGGGAAGGGCACTACATAGTCAGTATAGGAAAAAATCCACCAAAAGGAACAAAGAAACAGTAATACACACTGGAGAAAACACAACATCTTCAACAAATGATGCTTGTTAGACTGGCTGCATAGAAAAGAATGAAAATGGATCCATATTTATCTTCTTGTACAAAACTCAATTCCAAATGTGTCAAAGACCGCAACGTAGGAACACATAACCTGTATTGGATTGTTTTGTGTCAACTTGGCATAAGCTAGCATTATCTGATAGAAGGGAGTCACAATTGATAAAATGCCTCAGAAGACCCAGCTCTAAGGCATTTTCTCCTTATTGATTGATGAAGGAGGGTCCAAGCCTCTGTGGGTGGCATCATCCCTGGACTGGTGGTTCTGGGTTCTATAATAAAGCAGGTTGAGAAAGCCATGGAAGCAAGCCAGGAAGCAGTACCCCTCCGTGACCTCTGCATCAGCTCCTGCCTCCAGGACTGGTCCCTGTTTGCACTTGCCCTGACTTCGATGGTGAATAGTGATATGGAAATGTAAGTGTAAACCAAACAAACCCTTCCCTCCCCACCTTGCCTTTTGGTCATGGTGTTGAATCAAAGCAACAGAAACTCACTAGGACCTAACCTGAACTTGACAGAGGAGAAAATGGGGAATGCACTTGAGCTCGTTAGCACTGGAAAGGTATTTCTGGATGACACACTGATAGCACAGACACTAAGACCAAAAGTTAATACATTGGAACCTTATGAAATCCAGTTACTTCTGTATGGGAAAGGGTACCATCATGCTGACAAAGCAGCGGCCTATAGAATAGGAAAATGTCATTGTCGACTATATATCTTATAGAGAGTTAATGTCTAGAATACATGAAGTATTGAAACGAACAAACAAACAAACTAAAAAAAAAAAAACCCTGAACATCAAGATAACAAAACAGTTACAAAATGTGGTACAGGACTAAACGGAGACTTTCCCGAAAGATGAAACATATATGATTGAGAAACTCTTAAATAATGTTCAACACCCTTAGCCACCAGGGAAATGCAAATTAAAACTACTTGAGATTCCATCTTGCACCAATCAGAAAGGCCAAGATCAATAACCCAAATGACAGTACCTACTGGTGGGGAAAGAGAAACAGTATTTATAACTAATGGGAGTGCAAACTGGTATACCCTCCATGAAGGTCAATGTGGCTTTTCCTTAGGAAGCTGGGAACCAATGTACCTAAAGCTCAAGATCCACATATACCACTCATATAGCTGCTCATCCGTGTCCATTGCTGCTCTAGTCATAATACCCATGAACTGGAAAAAGCCTAGCCGTCCATCAACTGATGAATACATAATGAGAATGTGGCACATTTACAATCATGGAATATTATTGGGCTGTTAAGATAATTTAAATGGTGAAATTTGCAGGTAAATGGACAGAATAGAAAAAAAATCACCCTGAATGGGTAACCTAGAGCCAAAAAGACAAATACTGTATACATGTTTTTTTCTCATATGTAGATGTTAGCTCTTAAGCTTTCAATAAGCATGCTAAAATTCAAATAATCACAGAGGTTAGGTACCTAGTAAGGGAATAGTCTGGAGGAGAGGATCTCCCATGAAAGGGAAAATAGAATGTAATGTTCTGGAAAGGTAAAGGGGAACTATGAGGATTAAATAGGAATGTGGATGGAAGAAAAGAGTCATGGAGGAAATACGGGAAGGAACAAGCAACACTAAAGGTCATTTGAAAAACCATATGGAAACTTATTACTGTAGAAGCTTCCTAAAATATATACATAAATAGAAGGAATCTAAATAGACTCATCAAATAATGGGGGAGACAATTCCACCAATTAAAATGTCCAGTGCCAGGAATGGGTGACATCTTGTTGAGTCATTGACCAAAAGGGTCACATGAAACCTTCCCAAATATCACAGGTTATGGTCATGGTTATTGGTTACTTTCTGCAACTTTATGGTAAGGGCCTATTGCTGAAGACAATGCATATTTATTTCATGGATCATGGAGAAATCAAGCTAGTGTCTAACTAGAAGCTTCATCCCTACTGATTAGGATTCATGGTGCTAGAAGGTACTCTTCATGTTACCAGAGGATAAAGGTAATCATCAACCCCCTACAAACACTGTGACCTACAACAGTTACCTGTCTGCAAGATACACTAGCTTAGTAGTGGCACAAATGTTATAGGAATAACCAGTCATTTTCTGCTTGGATACCTGATGCTCCAAACTGAACAAGAACCTGAGACTAGATAGGCTACTGACCTAGGTAAAACCAAATACTACTATTCTGCTAAAGGGACATAGCAATAAAATGACTTGTGGTGACATACAACCGGCACAGGTTCAAGCTAGACAGGGTCCCAGAACTGAGAGGGGTGTACATGTAGGGTCTCATTTCTAACCAATAATTATTTGTAACTGATACATGCTGTCAACGGAAAATTCAAGTTTTTAACCAATGGAATCTCACTGGATATAGTAACCACACTCCAGGGCAGGCTCCATGCCTGTGATTAGTTAGTCATCACCAAATGAACTCCACATTTGTTGTTGTTTTCGTTGTTGTTATTGTTTGTTTAGTGTTTTGTTTGTGTGGGTGGAGCTTTTTGTTTTGTTTTGGCACTTTTGTCTTTTGTCTTTGTAGTTTTTGGTGTGTGTGTGTTTTTTAAATAGAAATAGATAAAGATGTGGTTGTTAAGTGGGAGGATCTGGAAAGAGTTGGGGTAGGGGAAGGAATATGATCAAAACATATTATATGAAAAATTCTAAGAAACAAAAAGTATAGGGGTGCAAATGTTCAGATTGTAGCAGTTCTCTGCACCTGACCCCCTAAGTTTGTGTTACCGGTAGAGGGAACATGATTGTGTCCATCTGTCTTTCAGGACAAAATAAGAGCTTGAGGTTTGCCTTGCATTCAGTTGGCCACAAGAACAGTAGTCAAGCTGTATTTGAAGAGCTGTCCCGTTGTTTGTTACTCTGATCATATTTTACTTTGTCAGCAAGAGTTACCATTAGAGAACCCAGTGTGAGGCAAAGGGTATGTGAGACTAGATTGTCCAGGAGAGTTCAGAAACTCCCACCTGCTCAATTATCTAGAGGCTTGTTTCCCTGTAGAGCATTTTGACGATGACTTGGTGTTTGTATGTCTCTCGTTTACAGAAACTTTTCTGTCTACTTTCAGCACTCATTAGAAAAGAGATAAATGACTGCAGGAAACACCACTGAGGCAATGAGAAAAAAAATCAGTCACGTTCATTCCCTTTGAATAAAGGGAAAGGATTATTAGAAACAATTGGCACAGTGCAGAGTGAGGGGACCAAGTTGCCGAGGAGTCAAAGCATACCGTAACAGTGTATTTTGAGGTTACATATTTACATATTTCACTGTTTTTATTAAGCATGAGTGAAAAACATATACTGGTGTTTAGTTTGTCTTTGAACATAATTTTTTTCTGCATGTCACCACACTGTGCCTTTGTGATATAACAATTTTTAGTCTTCCTGCTTATGTGGCTATTTCTTTTTCCACGGTGAAGACGTTTGCAAATACCCTACGTGTATGCATCATCTATCCTGTTCACATGAATGCGCCTCTTTGCATAATGATATATTGGCTCACTTGTTTTATAAGAAAATTCTCTTGATTCTAAGAAAATATTAAAAAGATATTTTATTGCCACCAGTTTTGGTGCCAGGTTTCAAGAATCCCAGTGCAGAAAGGTGCATGACTATTACAAATTGCACGATTAGCTTTTAAAATACCGTTTCTCTTCTGTACAGGTCACTTGACAAACTGGTTGTTGATGGGAATTACATGACTTCTTTTCCACCTGGGATTTTAAGGCTTAATTTGACCAAACTCCAATTTGATAATACGTTCACTAATTGTCATTTTTGGATAGAGTGTTGCTGGAACAACCCCCCACGACTAACTCAAATTTGTTCTTTGTTCATTGTCAAAAATAATCTACATAAAGTTTATGATTTCATCCCAAAGAAACTTCAAAGGTATCTAAGAAGGTGAGTAATTTCAAACATGCTTTCTATCAAAGCACACTTCTAAGTACTGCACTATAGTGCATACACACACACACACACACACACACACACACACACACAGTTCTTCCTTTACCCATTCTTGCTTTGCAGGTATACTAATGTACTCTAAATCAGTCCCATTTTATATCGTTCTCCAGTTATTTCTGAAGTTCAATGATGGTGGACAGTATCTATGCATCCATTAGTTAAACCTCTTCTATGAACTACTAAGTACACGAAGTGATTCCTTTCCAAAATTGTTTAGTCCCAAGGGATATGCATTGCTCCATTCTGCCCTGGGAGATACCAAGAGTAGATCAGGGTTTTTTTTGCATTCAGAATCAATAAGCAATTAGCACTTTGTTACCTAATCCCAAGACTAGGGTCTTTAGGATCCACTCAGATGTTCTATAACTATTTTGACTATATAAGTAAAGGAGATCACCATCATCCTTGCTGGGACTAGAGTTTGTACAGATGTTTATAGTATGTCTAAGTAAAATGGTTTCCCAGGAATATATAAAAGCCTAATATTGACTCAATAAAGAGATACATATCATAGCTTTGATCTTGATTGTCCCTCAGAGAATCATGTGACAACGTCCTTACCACCAAGGTGCTGCTACTGGGAGATTAACAACCTTTAAGAGGTTGGGCCTAGTGAAAGCTTCACAGGTCCTGGGAGACCCTGCCCTTTAAGGAAAAGTGGGCTCCCAAGTCTTTTGCTTCTTTGCCATACGTGAATGGTTGCTCTGCTGCAGACCCCCACTGTGATAAGAGAATATGGCTCAGTAACAGTGTGCTTGCGTAGGATTCAGAAAGGCTTGCATTTCCAGCTTCACTTTTAAATCATAATGCACTGTGACATATTCTTTTGTGTTAGAAAATAGGTTCCTTGCGCACATATTTAACCTGTAGTGCCACTGTATTAGGATTTAAATTTTGACTTAATAGTAGGTTCCTTATCTTGATGTAAGCTCAATAAAAAAACCAAGTGTTAATCTTTGCATTTGTAGAAACCCAAAATGCCCACTTGATGTTCCTTCCTTTCAGCACATCTCGGTGTGACTGGTGTCACGGTCCCAAGTTTGGTGAAGGCTTTCGCATCATCCGGTCCTGTGATATGTTTGGAGCAACACAGATTCCTATTATGTTCTATGTCTGCTCTCCTTCTTGTTATGTGGAGATCAGGGAAAGCAGTTTTGTTTTAGAAGGTTTTCCTAGTAGAAGAATAGCTCTAAATATGGACTGGGTAAGAGAAAGGAGAGTGAGCGATGTCTCCTTTTATTTGTAAAGTCCACAGACGTTTATATAAGAGTGACTCATCTCTTGGAGCACAGGTTCCTTCCGTGTGGAGACCTACAGGTCTCCTCACCCGAGTTCTCTCTGTGGCCCCCCTTCCTTGTGAACGACTGATGTTAGGAGTCATTGCAGAATTGTGACTTGGGGACTAGAAAGGGCCTTTGGAGGCCGGTGAGGGTGTTGAGAATTACCTGAAGAACATGTTTACAGTAAGAAAAACAAATGCTCAAAACGTAAATGCAGAAAGGGCTGTATTTACATTTTGTCTTTTCTTGAACCCATAGTCAATGACAGGCTAGCAGCTCAAAGCCATCACAGAGAACTCTGTTGCGTGAGGCCGCAAAGTCATGTGTGCAGGTATCCAATGTTAGTTTGTATATTTCTGTGAAAACCTATCCAGTGCTGATCATCTCAGTTGGTTTTCTTTTGAGAATAAAAGATTCAATTCCAAATCGATTTTTTTAAATTAGTTTCCCTGCCTCTTAGAAAACTAGTACAATCTTCAGTGGTTACCTTGACTTTTAGTCCACAAAGCTGAGACTAATGCCATGGGCCCGCACTGAATTTACCACAGCCTTGGATGATAGCCAAACAAGAAAGCAGAACTCACACAATGACACTGCAGAGTAGTATCCTCCTAAAGTGGGGCTTGAGTTTATTTTGAAAGGCAGAAAGATGGCTCAGCAGTTAAAAGCACTTGTTGCCCTTGCAGAGGGCCCACATTCAGTTCCCAGTACCCACAGGGTGGCTCAGAAACACCCGTTAACTCTAGTTGCAGAGGATCTGATACCGTCTTCTGACCTCTGAGGGCACCAAGCATATGATGTACATAGATGCATGCAGGCAAAACACTCATACACATAAAATTAATTTTAAAACAATGTGTAAGTTTATTTTGTTCAAAAGAAGGTGTCATAGTTTGACTAAGAACAGCCCATAGACTCATGGATACTTGGTGAACTGCTTGGGAAGGATTAGGAGGTGTGGCCTTGTTTGAGGAAGTGTGTCATTGGGGGCTGGCTTTGAGGTTTCAAAAGCTATGTGCCACGCCCACTAAGCTTTCTACTTCCTGTTTTCTGTTGGAGATGTGAGCTCTTAGCTGTCCTGCAGCCATGCCTTCATCCCAATTATGGACTCTGCCCCTCTGGAACCATAAGCCCCCCAAATACTTTCTTTTATAAGTCGCCCTGGCCATGCTGTATTATCATAGCAATAGAAAAGTATCTAAAGCAGCCGTCCTCATTTTCTTTATCCAGCTTCTGAGAACCTTTCCTCCATCCTTTGGTTTTTCCATAGCCCAACAGAGCTGGTTTTCATCCAGGGATTTCCCTGAGCAAAAGGTGAACACATATTTTGATAAAATAATTTCAAATGGCACATAACTATTTCATATATGTTATGGGTGTGTGTGTGTGTGTGTGCGTGTGTGCGCGTGCACAAGGGTTGTTAATTCAATCTAAAATAGTGATAATTAAATGTAATGAAATGAACTGATTTACATTTCAGCTTGCAGTCTTTGCTATCATAATTAGAGATTGTCATGAAGCATAAACTATGTAAGATTTGTATGTATTGTGTTAAGAATATTTAAAGATGAAATAACAAAGCAATATCTCTTGTAAGAGAATTATTTTTCATTATACGTATGTGTGCTGTGGGGTATCTTTGCTTATGGGTGTAGATGCTCAATGGAGATTAGACACATAAAGTCTCCTTGGAGCTGAAGGGACAGGCAGTTGTGAGCATGGGGGGGGGACAATGTGGGTTATCTGCAAGAGCAGTACATGCTTCGAACAGCTGAGCCTTCTTTCTTGTCCTTCCAAATAATTTTTCTGATTATGGAATTCCATAAGCACAAATGTCAGAGTTTGCTGAGTAGTATATACTGTAATCTCTGGGAAAACAAACTATGTATAATAAGAGAAATAACTACCATATCACACATAGAATCAAGAAAGGGATATTGACAGCATGGTAACAAATTCATTCAGTCAGCATACGATATGCCTATAATCAGAAAATAAGGTAAAAAAATAACATAAGGTTAAGTCTTACTAGTGTTTAATCTATTTATGATCATGCTTGCCCTGAAATATGTCCTGAGGGAAGAAATATGAATTATTTGTTTTTAGAACTAAAAATTGAACCTAAGACTTTGCCATGCTGGGCAAGCCCTCTACCCCTATGGTATGTCCCTAACCCTCTGTTTCCTTTGAATTTGAGACTGGGTCTTACTAAGTTGCCCACACTGGCCTTGAACTCACTCTGTTGCCCCAGCAGCCTTGAACTTGTTACCTTCCTGCTTCAGCCTCTGGAGTAGCTGGGAACACAGGCCTGTACAACTAAGTGACTATTGAGATTTAGCTTGAGTACTTGGGTAGAAATTGAGAATAGACAATAATGTCTTGAGTATTACAGAGACATTTTATAGAAACAGATACACCTAGACATAGGAACAATGTGAAATGTACTTGACGTTATGTCATTATGATCAGTACAAACCCTGTGGCAAAGATCTTGTATAAATCTACAAGGCAATCATAGTGTGTCAGACATATTGTTTCTATAAATTGTAAAACATACAGTTAAGCCTAAGAAGCAAATCTACCCTGTAAAGCCAATACCCTCTGAAAGTCAAAGAAAATGTGTATGTGCTTATACACATCTATATAATCGTTACTATGCTTGAAAATGCAATTGTTTCCATTTTCAGATGCTTCAAACCGCACCAACAATTACACTCCAATTTTAGACCTAAAGCTCTAAAACATTAGAAATAAAAGAAATATGCAGGGACTTGAAGGCACTGTGATCAATTAAGAAAAAAAAATCTGTGCAGGTAAAACTACTCATCCTACACAAAATTATAGGGCAGGTAACCACACCAGAAATGTAACTGTTATAGGCTGCTAATCAAAAGATTAAAAAGAAGACAAACACATTTGAAACAACAAAGGGAAATATATTGTTTTATGCGAATGTCCACAGGCAAGATGGTTCAGTAGCTCAAACTGTGTCCTTAAGGTGTCATCTGCCTCCTAGCAACACTTTAAAATTTGCCTCCCACCCAAGTGGTGTCCTTCCTTTCTTGTTGGCGTGATAAAACTCTGACTGCAGTGGGCTGTTGGGCACAGATTTTTCTTCTTGATTGAACAGTTCTCCCTAGTACGCATATCCACGTCCTCATCCATTCATGTGTTGAAGAACATTTAGGTTGTTTCCATCCCCTAGCTGTTGTGAATAGAGCAGCAGTAAACGTTGGGGGAGGAAGTATCTATGGAGTAGGATGTCTTTAGGCACGTGCCAAGGAGTGGACCAGCTCAGTCATATGGGTGAGGTTTTTTGTTTTTTTAAGTTTATCCATACTGGCAGACTTAAACGTTTGCTTAGATCCCCACTCCTCTTTCTTTGATTTCAGGAGACATTTTTGACATTAAGATCTTCAGACATTTTGCAAAACAAAAAAAAAGTTTTGTTTGCATATTAATTAGTAATTACTCTAGCATTTAAAACTCTTTCCCTCGACATTTTCTAATATTTCTATTGGCATAGTTATGGTTCTTAGCACAGTCTGCATACATATACACACATGCTCGTGTGGTGGAAGAGAGGGTAGCCATCTGCCATACACACTAAGAACTTGTCCTTAGCTTACAGCCTCGTTTCTTATGTGCTTTGATGTAAAGATTTTAAATGGTAGGCTTTGGAATCCACCAAGCTGTTCTTTTATGTCTTTTATTGATTAGTTTAGCAAGTCCTTCCTCATTCCTTAAATTATTGACCTACTGTTTATTTACTCTCCACTTGAATCAATGAGTCTCTCAGAATTGTATCTGTGTAGAATGCTAAGAAGTTCTGCCTCTGGCTGTGTGCACTTGATCTTCACCTCAGGTTGAAATCCACCTCTCTCTGTGCGCCACAGACGTCTTCTATGGTCAGCCCTTTTGTTTCATTTCCTGTTCTGATCACGGACTTGTACATTTAATGTCAGTACTACATGCAGTTTTCGTTATTTCAAAAGAAACAACATCTCATTACACCTACATTAGACGTTCTAAACTAATTGTTGTTTTTACACAAAACTCTCCAGTCCCTGCCCTCTGCACTGTTGGAGATCAAACCCTGGGCGTTGCACATTCTGGTTCACAGGTCTACTACTGAGCTACACCCAGCCCTGCCCATATGCCTTTTTTATCCATAGTGATCACTATAATCTTTGGAATTGCTTTATCTTGTTTACCACCATAAGAACACCACTTTGGATTTTGGTTAGAAGTACTCTAATTAGAAAAGAACCAGCACTTAGACACAGTTATGGTATCTCTCCATCCAGGAACACTGTATTGATTCATTTATGTGATGATGATGATGGCATTGGTTTAGTTATTAGGGGTTCACATATGTTTGATCTGTTTTAGCTACAGTAGAAATAATATGTATGTAGTTTGAGGTCTGAGTCTTCTCTGGACATTATAAGTGGATATCATTACATGTACTAACCTAAACAGTATAATTTTAAAGCTCAGAGTTTTGCTCCATCTAGCTTGGTGGTATGTTCCTGATGTCTAGCTTTATAAATCTGGAAACTAATTCTGTCTGTGATGACTTTTTTCAATTAAAAATCTATTTTTTCATACAACATATTCTGATAACAGTTTCCCTCCCCAATTCCTCCCAGATACTCCCTACCTCCCCACCCATCCAAATCTATTTCTTTCTCTCTGTCTCTCTCATTAGAAAACAAACATGCATATAATTAATAATAATAATAATAATAAGAAGAAGAAGAAGAAGAAGAAGAAGAAGAAGAAGAAGAAGAAGAAGAAGAAGAAGAGATTAAAAACCAAATAAACTTGAATAGGACAAAATAAACAAACAGAGGGGGGAAATAAAACTCATGCACATTCACACACACAGAAATCACACAAAAACACAAAATCAGGAACCATAATACACAAGCAAAAGACCTGTAAGGCAAAACAAAACAAAACAAAAACCCTCCAAAAATACAATTAGAGACATCTTCCAGGTTAGGGATGGGGGCTGTGTCAACTTCCCCTCTCAGCACTGGGACACCATCTGGCTAGGACCTGTGCAGGCCTTGTGAGTGCTGCCATGGATTTCTATGAGTTCCTATGTATATTAGTCCTATTGTGTCTAGAAGGCCTTGTTTCCTTGGTGTCCTCCATCCCCTCTGGCTTCTACAATCTTTCTGTCTCCTCTGCTAGAGTTATTGGAGTTGTGAGGGAGGGAATTGATGGAAATATCCTTTTCAGGGTTGAGTGTTCCAAGATATCCCACTCTCTGCACACGGTCCAGTTATGCGTTTCTTGTTTTTGTTCCCATCTACTGAGGAAGAGCATTCCTTAATGATGACAGAGCAAGATGCTGATTTTTGAGTAGAGCAGAATGCTGTTAGGAGTGTTTTTGGTTTTGTCTTCTTGAGACAGGG